TCACGCGATACCTAGGTGCTCGTCGACCAAGCAGCGATTAAGGGAAGGAAAATCCTTTCCGTGAAATGGGTCTTCCGTATGAAGACAGCGACATATGGCACCATAGAGCGCTTCAAGACACGCTGGGTCGTACGCGGCTACGATTAGAGGCATAGCATCGACGTTGACCATACATTTTTGCCGGTTAGCCGTCACACCTCAATCAGAATCCTGCTCGCCATTACCGCCGCACGACACATACCCCTCCGCCAGATCGACGTAAAGAACGGCTTCCTTTACGCACTGGTGGACGCAGTCATCTTTGTCGAGCAACCGCACACCTACGGTGAAGGCAACTCGCGCGTGTGCTAGCTGAGAAAGTCCCTCTATGGGATCAAACTGACACCGAGACTCTGGCTGTAGTATCTGCACAACATCCTACTTGAAATCGGATTTACACAGCTGTCGCACAACCCTGGAATGTATCGCCGAGACTTCCGCAGCGATTACATTCTCCTCACGGTCTACGTCGATGACTTGCTCTACATGGGGTCAAGCAACGAATTGTTAAGCCAGTTCGAAAAGAACCTGGCGACGCGCGTCGACATCACCTGCAACCATGACGTGATGCAGTTTCTGGGCCTCAACATTACCTACGTGTTGGAGGGCTTTCACCTCTCAGCTGCCAAGTATGCCGGAACACTTTGCAAATGCTTCAACATCTCGCCAGCACCTTTCAACCCCTTACCACACTCTTGAACCGAACCACAAGCTTGACAACAAAGCCCTGTCCCCGGTGGACTCCAGACTTACCAACAGCAGTTGGGATGCTTGCTCTTTGCCTCTGTCACCTGCAGGCCCGACCTCTCGTACATTGCAAGCCAACTAGCTCAATACTCCCGCAAACCAATGGTTGAAAACCTCCTAGATCTTCTGCGAGCCCTAAAATTCTTTGTCTCCATGCCCAACATTGGGCTCTGCTACTCCACAGTCATAACCTCGCCCTTCAACCTCACCATCTACGTAGACGTCGATCATGCTGCTGACCCCGAAAATCGACGGTCCAGAACTAGGTTCATGTTCCACCTCGAGCAAACAGGGCCCATCTTCTGGAACTCGCAGAAGCAGGAACTGGTTGCCCTGTCTTCGGCCGAAGCTAAATTCATTGCCACGACAGCAACAGTTTGCGAAGGGCTTTACCTACATGAGCTTATGCAGAAGGCGAAAATACCAACTTCGCTAACCTTTCGCCTGCACTGTGACAACCAGAGCGCGATCAGAATAGCAAACAAGCCTGGATTCGTCAACCGCACCAAGCGCATCGCGCTGCGGTATTTCTGTCAAACTATGATTGTTATAGTTTGTGTTTGCTAGTCTAGGTGGTGTACGTTTGTGTTTAGGGTTGGCTAGGGTTTGCTATATCAACCCGTGTATGCCATTGTTGAGCTCATTCATTATTCAGTTACCTCGTTGACAATTTCTTCGTCAACGACGAAGTTGGCAAAGGCAAGGTCGAATTGACCTATTGCCCGACGGGGGACATGGCAGCTAGTTTTTTCACGAAGCGACTGCCATGTCAGCAGTACCAGCACTACTCCGAACTCAGCAGAGTAGTCAAGCGGGTCAAGACCTGCTACGGCCAGGAGTGAAGGGGGGTATTACAAATATCAAATGGTGAAAAGTACTGTACACCCCTAACAGTAGCAAGCAAAGCACGCATTAAAGAGCACAAAGGCGAAAAGGTGGATTAACGTGAAACGTCGCGTACGGTTACGAAGCATCTGGACCGTTAAGGCAGACAACGTCGGACAGCTGCAGTGGCGAGTATTCTGCCAGGAACAGTTTGTAACCGTCTGGAGTCGCACGGTTGAATTTGACTGTAATATGGGAATGTACCCCTTAGACTACATGGCTAGCTAGGTCGTTCCGTATTCCCCCTGTACTCTTATTCATACGAATGTATTTGCATGTTTCTATTATCTCAGTCATTTTAAATTCACTCTGATATGAGGTCGCTATCTTCCGCTGCAACACTCAAATTACCGCGAACCTTCCTGAGGTAATCCTAGGCACGATCTCCTTTTTTATCGCAACAAAATCAACTCAAGACATGTTTATGTACCTGAATCGGCGTGACGCCATTGCGATTCTTTAAAGGCTGCTTTTTAGCTAGAAAATAAAACTCGAGTGAGAACATGCTCTGATTACCAAGTGTGAGAGTCGATAATCGAGTTCACGTAAGAACAGCCAACGTACGATAATCTCATAATCAACGAGCAGGAATGATGTGCACTAGCATGAGGGGGGAGTACAAATAGTGCTAATCCTAATGGGTTGTACTCAGTACAGTCTACCCCACTACAGCCTACACAACATATAATTTATTTTGACACACCTCCATAGGCAATGTGGGGGATAACAAACACAACAAGCGGTCACAAGACCAGTCAAGATAATAAACACAGCAAAGCAAGCTCAGGGTGGATCTCAATATCACCACGCATTCCGAGCACAAGCAAGTGGCCACAAGGCCAGTTCACATGCAGTTTTATAATAGAGCAAGCAATACAATGATTACAACCTAGCAACCATAAACAAGATCAAGAGATAAGCACTGTTGGCGCGTATTGCCACGTACGAAGGCGAAGCTGGGAACAATGCTGCAATGCTCGCACGGCAAAGGAACGAAGTGCAAAGTGTTACGTTCTGCTCGCGAGTCTGACCAAGTAGGATACGAAGAGGCAGAAACGAGACCAGCAAGGTAGGCACGGCGGCAAGTAGCGGCAAAGCCAGCGTGCTCAGCTACTAAGGGAGAAGCAGCAGAGGTCGAAGAAGCAGGTGCTGTCACAAGCGCGGCTAGACAACAAGGGATAGTCGGGCAAGCAGCACGAGCAAGGTCAGACACAGGGTCAGGAACGGCAAGAAGAGAAGACGGGGGAGGTAACGGCCAGACAACAAGCTCCTGAGCAACATGAGAGGTAGAATGGGAGGCAACACAAGATACAAGTACCCCACGCTCAGTCAGGGAGACAGGCGACGGGGAGTATCGAGCAGGAGCAGTCAGAAGGGAGTCAAGCGGCAGAAACAACAGAGGAGGAGCAATACCAGTGGCCGTAGGCTCAGCAGAGGCAGTCGGGAGTCGGGGAAGGTGGTGAAGCGCCGACTCAGGTAGCGACGACGTCAGCTGCTCCAAGAAGATGGGCCGTGGCGGCAGCGACTGCGACGCACCCGTAGACCCAGCACCTCCAGCACAAACACTAGGACCGCCAGTCCCAGGAACACCTCCAGCACCAGCACTAGCACCTCTAGCACTAATACCTCCAACTCCACCAACAAGAGGACTCCTAGCACCCCTAGAGTCAGCACCCCTAGAACCAGCACCCCCAGAATCAGAACCCTCAGCGTCACCACCCCCAAAAACACCTAGGCCCCCGAAGTCCACAGCGACAGGCTGCAGAGGAGGCGAAGACATCCAAGGCGGAAAAACTGGAGGTGTCTCCAATCGCGGCGAGCGGCGAGAGGTCGGTGTGTCGGTAGTAGCAAGGAAGGTTAGCGGCAGCACAAGACGGCCTAGGGTGGCAGGAGGTGGGGGGGAGTAGCGTCTAACCACAGCGGTATATAAAGCATGGGCCTACGGCACCTGGAAAAAGTTGGCTCTCTGGTCGAGCGAGAGGTGAGCGCGGACTGCAAGTATGGCAGCGGCGTCACGCGCCCTCCACCGCTTGTAGGCAATGCGGTCAGCGCGGTATTGCGTCTGCACCTCCTCCCCAGCGGCAGCAGCAGGCTTAGTAGGAGCCTCGGGGACTGGAAGGAACCCCGACGTGTGCTCGAACAGGGAGGCGTTGTCCTGAGTGACACTCGGGAGGTACTGGTGCAGACCCTCTAGCTAGGACTCAAACTGTATCGGGTGGCCCTCGACGTCAAAGATGAGCACAGTGGGAGTCGCCATAGCAGCAGTAGCGGCAGCAAGGGCGGCAGCAAAGGCGGCTCGGCAGGGCGGCTGGGCTGGGCCAGTAGTAGCGCAGGCAGCAGCAGCAGCGCAGGCAGCAGCAGCAGCGCAGCAGCAGTAGCACGGGCGGCAGTAGCAGCGTAGCAGCAGCAGCAGCACAGGCGGCAGCATCAGTGCAGGCGCCAGCAGCAGCGTGGGCAGGGCAGCAGGGCAGCGCAGAGGCCAAGGCGCTGCAGGAAGGCAGAGCAGCAGCGCAGGCTGAACGGGGCAGGGCTGCAGTAGCGCAAGCAGCGGCAGCAACGCTGAGTGGCGGCTAGGCAGGACAACAGCGCAGGCGGCAGCAGCGCAGCAGCGCAGCAGCGGGCTGCAGTAGCGCAAGCAGCGGCAGCAGTGCTAAGTGACGGCTAGGCATGGCAGCAGCTCAGGCGGCAGCAGTGCAGCAGCGGGCCTCATTAGCGCAAGCAGCGCGGGCAGCTAGCGGGCAGTGCGGCAGGGCAGATCGCGGGCAGCACGGCAGGGCAGCGGCGCTCGCGAGGCAGCATGCGCTAGCGGCTCGCAGCAGGGTGTCAGGGGTCCACTGGTGATCCCCGATTGATCCTAGGGAAGGGTTACAGGCTCGTTGTCCTGGGGGGTTATGGGCGCGCTGACCCGCTACTTAACAAGCCCTTTTATCCCAATGGTCTAGTGGTTGGGATTCTGACATGGTATCAGAGCAAAGGTCTCGGGTTCGAATCCCAGTGTGTGCACTTCGGGCATCCCAGTGCGGGGGGGTGTCAGAGGTCCACTGGTGATCCCCGATTGATCCTAGGGAAGGGTTACAGGCATATTGGCCTGGGGGGTTATGGGCGCACTGACCCGCTACTTAACAAGCCCTTTTATCCCAATGGTCTAGTGGTTGGGATTCTGACACAGGGGCGTGCGCTAAGCGCGGGGCAGCAGGGCAGGGCAGCGCGATAGCACTGGGCAGGGCAAGGCATGATCGAGGCGAGCGGCAGCAGCAGCTGCAGCGCAGGCAAGGCGCGCAGGGCAGCAAGGCGTGCGAGGCACGCGGGCAGCAGGGCACGCGCGGGAGCTGGGCAGCGGGGTGCGCGCGGGCGCTGGGCAGTGGGACACGCGCTGGCTCTGGGCAGCAAGGTGTGGACGGACGCTGGGCAGCGGAGCGCGTGCGGGCGCTGGACAGCGGGGCGCGCGAAGGTACAGGGTAGCAGGGCGCGCACGGGCGCTGGGCAGCGGGGCATGCGTGGGCGCTGGGCAGCAGGGCGCGCGCGGGCGCTGGGCAGCGGGGCGCGCACTGGCGCTGGGCAGCGGGGGACGCGCAGGGACGGGGCAGCAGGGCGCGTACGGGCGCTGGGCAGCGGGGCGCGATGGGCAGTGGGGTGCGCTGGCGCACTGGAAAGCAGGGCGCGCTGGCGCGTTGGGCAGCGGGGCGCGCTGGCATGCTGGGCAGTGGGGCGCGCTGTGTCAAGACGGAATGATTGCATTGAGCAGGAAGATGAGTACAAATATTAAACCCTAAAGCGTTGTACTCACTAGAGTATGCCCCACTACAGCCTAGAGACATACAAACATGATTTGACACACCCCCATTGGCAAAGTGGGGGATAGCAAACACAACAGACGGTCACAAGACCAATCAAGTAAGAGAACAAAGCTAAGCAAAGCTGAGGGTGGATCTCAAAATCACCACACAGTCTGAGCACAAGCAAGCGGCCACAAGGCCAGTTCACATGCAGATAGCAATTGCAGTACACTGATCACAACCTAGCAAGTGCAAACATGCAGGTATTATCATATATATCAGAGTACAACAAAGTACAAGGCAAGATCGAGAGACAAGCAGGTGAGGCAGAGTGGGCACAACTTGGTGAAGACATCAGCAGTGTTGGCCTGTGTGGCCGCGTCAGTAAGACAAAATTGACCACGCTGGTGCAGCTCTCGCGTGAGGAAGTAACGAAGAGCAATGTGCTTCGATCTGTGCTCCAGACTCTGGTCCTGACACAAGGCAACCATGGTCTTGTTGCCGACATACAGAACTAGAGGAGAACGAGGCCGCTCACCCAAGTCGGTCAGCAGGTAGGTCAGCCAGCGGAGCTCCTGTGCAGCCATAGCCCCAGCATACATCTCGGCCTCACAGCTGGAAGTAAGCACAGAAGACGAGCGAGTGGACCTCCACGAGATACAACCAGCACCGAGGCTGAAGCTACACCCCTGTGTTGACCGGTGAGTCGTCTGGTCGTCAGCCCAAGAAGCATCTAAGTGACCGGTGAGAACAACTGAACCATGTCCTCCAAGCACAAGGCCCATGCCCGATGTACTGCACAAGTAGCGCGGTACCCTCTTCGCAGCATCCCAGTGCACCTTTCGGTGTCTACCGGGAGCCATGTAGCGAGCCAGGAGGCTGAGAGGGTATGCGAGGCCAGGTCATGTACATGTCATCAGGTACATGAGGCAACCCACAAGCTCTGGGCACGGACCACTTGGCTCTACGGACTCGTCCGAAGGTGGAGCTGAGAGCGAGTGGCCTGTAGCCAGAGGAGTGGACTGTGGTGAGGACCACGAGAAGTCGAAGTGCTGAAGGACCTTCTGGACCATGTGTGACTGAGTGAGGGTGATGGTGTGTCGTGCTCTGTCCCGGGTGATCTGCAAGCCAAGATAGCTCCGCAGCTCACCTAGGTCAGTGCAGGTGTGTCTCTCCTGCAGCTCTACCTTCACTAGGGCAAGTGCCTCAGTATCAGCAGTAGCAAAATCAAGGTCCCTACACGAGAATGTAGAATGGGGCTAGAGAAGTGTCTGTGCACAGAAACGGTGAAGGGTCGGCAGTCGAGGGAGCAAAGCCAAGAGCTGCAATTGTGGTCCTTAGTGTGTCGTGCCACTCACGGGGCGTGCGCCGTATACCATAGACTGGTCGCCAAAGACTCCACTGGGTACCCTCAGGAAACGACCCAGTGAAGCCACGTGGGCGGCGCAACCAGATAGCCTCGTGAAAACTGCCCTGCAGGAAAGCTTTAGAGAAGTCGAGGGAGTGCAGCTCGTAGTCGCGCTGTGCTGCAACGTGCAGCAGCACCCGAAGAGTGGTCATCTTCAGGGTGGGGGAGAAGGTCTGCAAGAAGTCGACCCCCTCATGCTGACTGAAGCCTCGTGCAATGTAACGCGCCTTGAAGGCAGGCGGAGAACCCGGCGGCCGCTTCACCCTGAAAATCCACATGCCATTGACTATGTTCGCCCCAGGTGGGGGAACCTCGTCGATTTAGGTGCCTGTGGACTTCCAGGAAGCCATTTCTGCGTCCATGGCTATCTTCCACTGAGAGGAGTACGGACCCGTGATCGCCTCTGGGTAAGAGCGCGGGGTCGGGATGTCTAGTGCATCCGGGTCTCCCTCAGGGCAAAGTATCGTGGACGCGAGATAATGTGCAGCGGCCACTAGGCACTCCAGCTCAAACTGCCTGTCGTCTAGAATGTCACAGCCAAGGGCAAGCTCACCCTCGACGGACGGAGGATAGGAAGAGTCAAAAACAAGACTCGCAGCGTAGTCAAGGCGGCACAAAGCAGCAAAGTGAACAAGCTCAGCAACTAAGGTAGTCGCAGCAACAGACTCAAAGGAAGGGTCGGTCACAACCGTGGCAAGGAGACGAGTGACAGTCGGACTGCCAGTACGAACAAGGTCAGACTCAGGGTCCGGAACGTGAGGAAGAGAAGACACAAGAGGCAAGGGCAGGACAACACGCTGTGGAACAGAGGAAGGAAGAAGTGCCATATGGTGAGTGCCTGGCACAGCTGGAGCACGAGGACGGGCAACACAACGAGCACGAACAGGTGTTGAAGCACGGGTCTCATGCTCACGACGCTCAGTCAGGGACTCAGACACCTCAGTGTGAGGATCAGGAGTAGGCAGCGGGGAGCCAGGCAGTAGCTGTGGCTGAGACTGGTCAGTTGGTGCGAACAGTAACGGAGGAGTAGTACCAGCAACCGGGAACTTAGTAGCAGCAGGCGGGAGACTGAGAAGGTGACGGAGCGCAGACGGTTGCGGCTGAGTAGTCACACCCCCATAACCTCGAGCCCCAGTAGGAACAGCACCCCCAGAACCAGCACCACCAGCTCCACCACTGGGAATGCTCCAACAAACAGCCCACTCACGAAGCTGCTGCGGCGAGAGCAACTCTCGCCGACTAGCACCACCAACTCCAGTACCTTCAGTAGCACCTCTAGTGTCAGCACCGCCAGTACCCCCAACTCCAGGAACAGCAGCACTAGCACCTACAGGGCCAGCACCTCCAGTACCTCCAGCTCCAGCACGTCCAGCTCCGCCACCGGGGCTGCCCCACCGGACAGCCCACTCTCGAATCCGCTCCGGCGAGACTACCCGCAGCAGCACCCACAGCAGCAGCACCTCCAGTACCTCCAGTAGCAACTGTGCCTCCACCACCAGTACCTCCAGCACGGCCAACTCCAGAAACACCAGCACTAGCACCTCCAGGGCCAGTACCTCCAGTACCTGCAGCTCCAGCACGTCCAGAGCCACCACCAGGACTGCCTCAACGGACAGCCCACTCGCAAAGCCACTCCGGTGAGAGAGGCTCCCGCCGACGTGCACCAGCACCACCTGCACCAGCACCACCAGCACCAGCACCACCAGCACCTCCAGCAGCAGCACCTCCAGCACCCGTAGGACTCACCGCACCCTCAGAGCCAGCACCCCCAGAGTCCGCACCCCTAGTGTCACCACCTCCAGCAGCACCAGAGTCCACAGTGACGGGCTGCAGAGGCGGTGAAGACGGTCGAAGCGGAAAACCAGGAGGGACCGCCAAGTGCGCGGGGCGGCGAGGGGCCACGGTGTCGGCAGCAGTCAGGGCACCCCCCTCAGCTGGGCCAGAGGTGTCAGAGGAGACCTCCAAAGGCTCAACCAAGGGGGGAGGGTCTACCTGAGACACACCTGAGGTAGCGGGACCAGGAGGAGGGAGGGGGGCAACCGGGGGGGGGGGGTCGGCTACCAGGGAGAGAGGCGGGAGGGGTACCGGGGAACTGCGGTGGGGGTGAAGACGGTAAAAGCAGACGGACTCGTCAAAGGTGACGTCACGGGAGGACAGCACATGATGAGAGCCCGGGTGGTAAAACTGCCAAGGCGGTGCATCCGTGGGAAAGCCAAGGAACACGCACCGAAGAGTGCGTGGAGAGAGATTGCCCGCAGGCAGATCGTGGACAAGAGAGAGAGAGAGAGAGAGAGAGAGAGAGAGAGAGAGAGAGAGAGAGAGAGAGAGAGAGAGAGAGAGGCCTAGTCCTTAGCCTCTCCAGCCCTCTCCAGCCTAGTATAAAGGCCCTAGGACCTTGTCCTAGAGCCTCATTATTCAGTTCTGGGTTCATTCTGCTCCCCTAACCGAGCGGCTCGTGCCGGCCGCCTTCGGCGGCCGACGCTCGACAGCGCGACCTTCGGCCGCGCGTGAGGGGCGGCAAGAAACAAACATACGCAACAGATACCAAGCAAGGAGATACACGCAATGGCAATTTCAATAAGCATCTAGACAAGCAAGGCATCAATGGGGCAACCGGAGCCCACGTCTACATGCGGTGTGCTCCAAGGGCGTGAAGAACGCCCGTCAGGGAGCGCCACAGCTCCCGGACCACAAGCGTGCTTGCGCCGATCGCCGCGGCTCCAGATCCTGCGCGCAAGTGCCGCCTCAAGCCCCGGACGGCTTCGTCAAGCTGTCTCGCAGCAGCAGCGCCACCCTCCACAAGCGCAGCCAGCACGGGCGCCAGCAGCACCGCGAGCTGGTCCACCGCGTCTAGGCACGAGTCACGCTGGCGGCCACGGAAGGTCTCAGGAGGGATCACAGGGAGAGACGAGTGGGCCAGCACCTGAATCAGCAGCAGAGCGTGGAGACTGTCAGCGAGGCGGTGTAGCTGTCCGAGAGTCGCCTCGGGAACACGGGTCTGCGGAGGCTGGAGTGCCTCCGCCAGGAACTCGAGCGGCTCATCAGCATCAGCAGGGAGAGCGAACGGAGCCGCCAACGAGCCGCCACCTGCGGCCACAAATTCCACTCCCGCAACAGGCGGAACCGGTGGCAGTTGGAGTCGAGAGCCGGGAGCAGGCGCCGATACAGCGGGAGAAGGAGCCGGGAGCGCCTGGATCTGGGGGGGAGGCGCAGCAACAGGCTGCGGGTTTGGGGGGAGCGCAGCCGGACGGGGAGCCTCACGGGCTGGCAAGGCGCGCAGCGAACTGCTCTGGCTCTGCGCCGCCCTCTCCTCCCGAACCGCCCCCGACACTTCCCGCTGAAGATCCGCCATCGTCACAAGCGGGCGATGCCCCCCGCCCCCGCCATGAGCACGGGAACCCCTCCAATCCCCTTGACCCCCGGGGTGAGCAGGCCAGCGCGACTGTTGCTGGTACCGCCGTGGAGACTCACGCCGGCGACGAGATGATTTGCGTTCCTGGTGGGGAGCGGGGGAATGGGGCCGCGACGAGCGACGGTCAGGCGACGGAGGGCGTGACGGTTGGCCTGCAGGAACCACCGCCGTCACAGCGGGAGCGGACTGACCCGCCGCCGCAGGCGCAACCGACAGAGCCGGTTCGCCAGTGGTGGCAGAGACCTGCGCAGGCAGGCAGGGGGCAGAAGCGCTCGGCGCAACACGGGCGCCAGGGACAGACGCAGGTGGTTCAGCAACACCCCCAGCAGGGGCAGACGCCGACGGCCCGCCAAGGGGAGCCTGGGTGCCTGGTGACGCAGGCGGAGCAGACGGAACAGCAGCGGGAGCGGTCGGGCCAGCCTCCGCCCCGACAAGGGGAGCCGCGGGTGCGTGGGGATGAGTCTTTTCAGAGACTGCTGTCACGTGCCTCGGAGCCGGCGGTAGAGGGGGCTCCGTCGCCATGGTCGCCCTTTCGGGCCCCGCCGGAGGCCTGGCGACCACAGCCAACCAGGCGGCAGCGTGCCCTGGCGACGGCTCAGGTGCTCCAGCAATCACCATCTCGAGAGCAGGGAAGCCGCGGGGCGAGAAGAGAAACCGTGAGAGGAAAGGGCGGAGGACCAGAGAATGGGTATCAGAGGGCGGCGAGAAGGGCTTTAAACACCGTGGAGGAATCTAATGACGAAGACGAGCGGGACGACCCACCTTATAGGGAAGAAGCTCTTCCCGAGAGTGAGAAAGAGGAGACGGAAGGAGAAGGCATGGCGAGAGAAGGACCAAGGCGAAGGGAAGAGGTAGTGCAGCAGACGGACTTGCAAGCGCCACAGATGGCTCGACCATCGTCCGATGTCGATCGGACGGACGCAAATCCAACTTCAAGCCCCCCAATAAGATCGAGCCGCGCCGGGAGAAATCGAACCACCAATGCCCGTACCACGGCACGCCCATCAGCATCATTTCCCCGCTACTTTTCAGCAGACGAGCTCGCGAAGCGGACAGACCTGTTCGCAGGCATTACAAATTGGGATATCGCAGCACTATGCGACAGTCGTCAGCCTCCACTGTCGCGGCGTTTACCGCCAAACTTGTGCCATCTGTTCTCGCTGGCGTTACTGACGCCGTTACTGCACCTCTCACGAAACCCCGAGTCAGAGACAGGTTGGCGCCTGCTGTTATTTCTCCCGCGCCTAACACTTCGCCAAACCTCGCCACGAAGACCGAATTGGCCGGAAATCAAGACCCGACTCCGAGCCTTCCAGCGTGGCGAATGGGAGCAGCTGTATCAGGACGCGGCGGACGCAGTCAACGTGCCTCCACCGCCTCAACATCAGCCCAACGCAGCTGGCGTGCTCAGCCGAGCCGAAGGCCTGGCGAAACGTGGCAGCCTGCGACGGGCCGTGCTGGCCTTGGAGTCAACACCCGTCTGTACCCCGAGCCCCGAAATCCTGGAGGAGCTGCGTTTGAAGCACCCGCCTGCTGAACCCAGGGAGGTGACATGGTCCACGCCACAAGGGTCAACGCTGTCAATCCCGCATGCTGACTTTGCCAAAATGCTGGGTAGATGCGAAAATGGAGTTGGAGCCGGGCCGTCGGGCATGACATTTGAGCACCTGCGCGACGCGGCAATCACAAATGCATTGGTCAGCACCCACCTGCACGCCTTAGTAAACACCATCCTGGGAGGAAATTTGCCAGCCTCGGTGGCAAACCTCCTCACCGCGTCTCGACTCATCGCCTTGGCCAAACCTGGGGGAGGGGCTCGGCCAATAGCGATAGGCGAATGCTTGACGAGGTTGGCTGCCAAAGCGGACAGAAGCAGCGGCGCTGTCTACGTGTGCGACGTCACCATCACAGATCCCATTAGCACTAGGGACCCGGAGGCACAGAAGGGCAGGGGCTGGGTGGCGCGGGAGCAGGCTGACAAGAAAGTCAAGCACTACGCTGCCCGGCCAGAGACAGTGAATTTCTTTCCTCTAGCGGTGGATACCTACGGCTGCCCCTGTGCTGAAGTGCCAGGCTTCCTGAAGCTCTTGGCAGACACTGCAGCCCGGCGCCACTTCAACGCCGACTCCAAGTCATTCTACGCTGCTAAGTTCCTGCACCAGTTCAGGCAGCGCTGGTTTGTGGCCCTACAAAGGGCCCAGTCCGTGGGTCTCCTGCTCAAACTAGGGGAGGCAGCGGCAGTGGAGAACCCGCCTGTGGGGGGGATCGGGGATGAGTTACACCTAGGGGACTGCTTTGCGGTCATTGAGCCCTTTGTGGAATTGTAGGGAGGTTTTTGTGTCTCCTTGTGCCTTGCCAAGTTGCTACCTATGAGTTGCATGTTTGTACCTTGCTGCTATATCAATACAAGGACCATTAGAGAGAGAGAGAGAGATGGCTTGGGACTAGTCCTTAGCCGTTTTTAGCCTCTCTAGCCTAGTCCTTAGTCCTTAGCCGCTCTCAGCAGTGTTTCCCTAGTATAAAGTCTCCAATCCCTTGCCCATGGGGCTCATTCTTCACTGGTGAGTTCATATCCCTCTCCAAAACTCCCGGCTCGCGCCGGCCGCCTTCGGCGGCCACCGCTCGCCTGCGCGGCCTACGGCCGCGCGTAAGGGGTGACAAGACCAAGGAAGAAACAAGAAACAATATGGAGCAGTACAACAAGCACAAGTAACCCAGCGGCAAAAACTACAACACCCCCAGGTGTGACCACACCGCCATGGGGAAGCCCAGGGCCAAACCACGCCAGAAAGTGGTGGCCAAAGGAAAGCCAAAGGCTACTCGGCGAGTATCCACACAAGCCGCCCGTCCATCCACCGCAGCACTGAAGCGACTGCCGGCACAAGGTCGAGCGGTGCCCGCGCAGCAGAAGACACCAAGCGACGCAGCGCGGCAGGCCCGGGTCCAGAGGCCACACCGGGGGCCCCTAACTCCAGGCCCATGTGCGGGAGCGACCGCAGGATCTCCGTCACGGACGCCACCGCAGACTCCGTCTCTTGCTACGATAGCCTCGGACACTGCAACCCGTGGCGTGTCATGCAAGAATGCAACAGGGCGAGAACTTCCGCGAGGTGATCCAGATACGTTGCCACGGTCATTACGCGCAGCTCAACGCGGAGCAAACGCTCTACAGGCGTACACTCACCCCAGTGACTCCAACGCGCATCTGGGTGCGGGGGAGGAACGGGTGCAGGCACGGCAGGAACCTCAGCCCCGCGGTTCGCAGGAACTGGAGCAGGGGACGGAACAGGCAGTGGATCAGTTGACCCAGAGACGGCTGGAGGAACAACTGAGGGAGGCCAAGGGAGGTACGATGGTGGATGCGGCTGTTGCTGCGGGGGTGCGTCTTGAAGGAGGGGCGACGACGGAGGAAGAGGTGGCCGCTGCGCGGCCGACAGCGGCCCAGGAAGCGCGGGAGGCGTCCCAAGAACCATCGGCGTACGGGGAGCTGGCACAGCTGTACGCGCCTGCAGGAGCTGCCATTGCTGTCGACGGCTCAGCCTCTCTTGCTGCCTCTGACGCCGACGCAACGAGATCTGGTCCCTCAGTCCAGCCTGAAGAGGGGAACGATAGGGTTGGCGGTAGGTGTGAGCGTGAGCACGGAGAGAACGGTACACAGGGGAGCGTTGGCGGCACCGTTGGCCGCGCCCGCGGTCGAGCCCGCCTTCAGCCAGCGCCGCGGCGACTCGGAGCAGCGCTGGCACCTGCCCGTCCAGGGCCCCTTTGGGGATGGCATCAGCAAGAGCAGACGCTACCAGAGCAAGAGCGTCGGACGCCATTCCCGAACCACGAGGCAACAACCACGGGCGACGTCACGGAAACGCAGCGACAGCAACGCCGGGAACGGCGAGCACGGCGGGAGGATGGAGAACCAGCGCCAAATGCGGCGCCGATGGCGCAGGGAGTAGCACGGAACGCCTCGAGAATTCGGTGGGTGGCACCGGCCACACCGTGGCGGCCACCTGGTTGTGCTGGGGGGACCAATGGCGCAACAACACGGGGTAGGGGGAGACGCCGAGCGCGAGCACGGGCCCCACCTGAGCCAACGCGGACGGGACCTTGGCGGGAGAGACACGGCCGGCAGATCCCAACCGTTGCAGGAAGAGAAGGGGAAGTGGATGATGGTAACCACTCTTCCGACGATACCACTTTTATGGCATCAGCAACACCATCCTCGGAGGAGTTTTCGGTCCACGATGAGGATGAGGAGAGACGACGTGGCGTGCACAATCGGCGAAACAACGATCCACCAGCAGTTGACCAGGCAGCCCCAATCACAACCGGCGGCAACGTGGCTACTGGGGCAGACAGCAGATCTCAGGGTGTGCGTTCACCTGACGAGCTAGCGGCAATGGAGAACCTGTGGGCAGGGACAGAGACGTGGGATATCAGCAAGCTCACACGGGGCGACCAGCCGTTCGTCGCGAGAAGGCTGCCACCTGACGTGCTTACCAATTACTCGCTGTGCCTACTTACCCCCCTACTCCGAATTGCAAAAACTCCAAACTGTCCAAGTGCGTGAAGAGTGCTGTGCTTCTTGCCGAGGCTAACTTTGCGCCCACAACCCCAGGAGACACTTGGGAATCGTTGGGCTGAAATCGAAGCGCGGATTCACAAATTCAGACTGGGAGAGTGGGAGAACCTGTACACCTAGGCCAGCACCATCCCCCCCAACCAGGAAGCAATCAGACACCAACCCGATGCTACTGGACTCTGTGCCAGAGCGGAAGGACTGATTCGGAAGGGAAATCTCTCCAAGGCATGCGCGGCATTGAAGACTACACCTTTGGCGAAGGTGTCGGCGGAGGCAATCGCAGGCCTACGGGCGAAACACCCCGAGGCAATGTTACCACTACCTGTTATAGTCACAATAGGCTTGAATGTGCCTAAAACGAAAGATAGAGTGCACAGACGGATTTCTGCACAGCGGCTTCAAACGTTGATAGCGTTCTGCTCACAGATTTAAATGAGTTGCTATAAATTGGATCTGGAGCGTCTTGATGTCACCTACACGAGGCAAGTTGAATCACACGATTTCATCAAGCATTGACGACGCAACGTTGGTTTGAACGAACGGCACTATGGCAGCCACTATAGACTTAGAACACAAGATAGGAAGAGTTACGAGTTGGGAATGACTCCCAGCTCCTACAAACCCCAAGAGCCGAGGTACAGTGATGTGGAACAGTGCCACACTGTCCCCAACCACGAAGGGTCTCGAAACTACCCTCCACAAGGGCCTACACCAAGAGAAATGTTACACTACACAAAGTAATGCAACTATTCTCACTATCTTAAAGTTTACCCTTTTGGAGAGCTTCGAAATCACTTGATTCTTGAAACCAAGGCTCTGGTTCTTCAAGGTAAATTCTTCCTTGAGTTCTTGGAAGTCTGCTGCGCACACCTGCGACACGCCGAACGTTCCACACACGACAAAATAGAAAACCGCACACGATACGCAAACGACGACGTGACACGCGACTAGCGATAACTCGCTATTGACTCGACACACACATTCAAAATCATGCCTCATCATTCACACACTATTGTAAGCATGAAATATATATTATTTCATGTCCTCATACCATTCCATGCACACACGCATGCACGCACACGGACAACAAGCCGAATGCAAACCGTAGGGTTGCACCAACAAACTCCCCCTCGGATTGTTGGACTTAGGATCTTGCTCTCTCAGTTCAGAGCCATCCCAGCCAGCTTGCAACACTTCCAATGCTGCTGCTTTACCAGCCTCTTGGTCATCATGTCAGCTGGCTGCCCCGTCGTCTTCACGTAGTGCAACTCAACTTCACCCGCGGCCACCATGCTCCTCGTCCAATGCCACTTCACCCTCATGTGCTTGGTGAGGCCATGCAACACAGGGTTCTTAGCAAGAGCAATGGCACCTTGGCTATCGCAGTAGAGTGGGGTAGGTCCTTGCTGCTCCTCCCCCAATTCAGCCAACAAACGCCGCTGCCACACAATCTCCCGTACGGCACGGAAGAGTGTCATGTACTCGGACTCCACCGAGCTCAATGCTTGATCCACCTGCTTCTTGCTCTCCCAAGCAGTTGGGCCTCCACCAACACAGAAAATGAACCCTCCAACACTTGTCATGTCCTCTGGTTCCGATGCATAAGAAGCATCCGAGAATGCGGTGAGGAACAAACACCCGGGTTCAACACCATCCGCGCCCTTTTGGCGCCTTTGCGCCGCCGCCGAGTATTGCAGCCCAACGGTCGGTGTTTGGCCAAGATACTTGGCCACCCTCATTCCAGCTGCTACCTGCTCCTCGTTAGGGCATCGAACAACCCTGGCCAACTGTCCGGTAGCAAACGCGACGTCCGGTCGGGTGTTTACCGCCGCGTACATAAGGCTGCCCACCAATGAGTGAAAACGGCGCCTCTCCTCTTCACCAACGCTCTCCTCCTCTGGTCCCTTCACACAATTGAACCCAGAGGGAAAGGGTGTAGCCACATGGCCTTCAATCTGCCCAAAGTTGGCAGCCAATGCCTCTAGGTACTTCCGTTGATGCACCCACATGCACCGCTTCTCCACATCTCGTTCGATGTGGAGCCCAAGGTAGAAGCTTACGTCACCAAGGGCCTTGCACTTGAACTTGTCTTGAAGCTTCAGCATCACCTCCTTCACAAGGTCAGAGGAGGGTGAGAAAATGAGGATGTGATCCACATAAACCACCATGAAACTTCTCTGCTCCCCCTCGCCAAGCATGAACAAGGAATGATCGTCGGATGAGGGAGTGAACCCGATCTCCTCCAAGACTTCACGCAGCTTCAAGTACCACTGCCTAGGGGCTTGCTTGAGCCCATAGAGCGCCTTCTTCCGCTTCCACAATCTGCCACTACCATCATCAAACCCCTCTGGCTGCGCCATGAAAATCTCTTCTTCGAGAATGCCGTTGAGGAACGCGGTTGTCACGTCCATTTGTTTCACCACCCATCCTTTGATGGTAGCTCCCGCGAGTAGGGTTCTCAGCGTCGTCGGCTTCACCACAGGAGCAAACAACTCCTTATAGTCCACATTCTCCTTCTGCTGGTACCCCTTGGCCACAAGCCTAGACTTGTAGCGCTCGATTTTGCCGTCGGCGTTGGACTTGATCTTGAAGAGCCACTTGGACGTAATCACCTTACGCCCCTCCGGTAGCTCCACCAATTCCCATGTGCCATTCTCCTCAATGCTCTTCAGCTCACTCTCCATTGCCTTCTTCCACTCCTCAGCATCACCACTCTTCAAGGCCTCCTTGAGAGTTGCTGGTTCCCCCGGCATCTCCACCGGAGAGAAGAACGCGAAGGCACACTCCTCGTAGTCACTCTCCTCGTCATCTTCAACCATAAGTGCCGTTCCGGCCAGAGCTGACTTGGCTGGGTTTCCCAATGCATCATAGGTCAGCCTATTAGGGGCTTGGATTCTCCTCTTGCCCCTTCCTTCCTCCTCAGCTGCAGGGACATGAAGGCCTTGGCGTTGCTGCGGGGTGACTCGGATCCGTGGAGCACTCGTACTGCGAGAAGGAAGTGTCGGTGCACGCTCGCTCACTTGCTGCACCTCCTCCTCTTCTTCCTCTGCATCCTTGGCCTCCTCTCCCCCATTCACAAGGGAAGATTGCCTTGTGTTGGTGCTGCCGCTGCTCATCTCCAAGGGCAGCTCCACATGCTCCAAACCGGAACTCTTCACCTCCCCAAACCGCATGCCTATCTTCGCCTCATTCTCCGCCTTCCAATCCTTATACATCAGGTTCTCCATGAATTTGCAGTCCCTGCTCACCAAGAATTTCTTGGTGAATGGGTTCCAAAGAAGCCATCCCTTGCTGTTTTGAGCCATGCCCAAGTGCACAGCCCATATCGCCTTGGCACCGAGCTTGTTGTGCCGAAGATGCTTAGGCACGAGCGCCATGCACATGCACCCGAACACCAGAAGCATATCCACCTTTGGCTTCCTTCCAATCCACTCCACATAGGGCACCCATTTGTCTGCTCCCACATGAGTCAAAGCTCTGTTCTTGGCCACACACGCACTCCGCACCGCATCAGGCCAGAAATAGACGGGTAGCCCGGCTTCAATGAGCAACCCGCGCACCGTCTCCGTGATTGTCCGGTTCGCTCGCTCGGCGATGCCGTTCATTGCAGGGGAGTATGGCATGGTAAGGGAGTGCCTTATACCATTCTTCTTCAGCCACAATCCAAACTCCTTGCTCAAGAACTCTCCCCCTCGATCGGTGCGGATTGCCTTCACTAGCCGGTCTTGTTGCCGCTCCACCATCGGCAACCAATCGGTCTTCACCGTTTCAGCCACATCGCTCTTCTTGGACAGCACGTACACCCAAGTCATGCGAGTGTAGACGTCCACAATGGTGAGAAAGTACTCAGCTCCAGCAGCTCCAAGCTTCAGGGGGCCCACCACGTCCATCACCACCTCATCAAGTGGTGCCTTAGCCGTTGCCTCCGAACTAGAGAACGGGTAACGGGTGAACTTGGCTTGCATGCACGTCGGGCAGCCAAGTACCTCATCGGGCTCCCCCTTCACACGTATGCCAGCAACCATCTCATTCTTCACTAGCTGCTGCAAGATGGGCAGGGCCACATGCCCCATGCGCCGATGCAAGGTCAACCAATCACACTCCCCCGTAGCCGAAGTCGGATTGGAGAATGCCGCACTCGCAATAGTGCCCCACATGTTCTCTCCGTACTCCTCCTCCCCTGCTGCCTTGGGGTTCTCCTCACCCTTGTGCTGCTTCTGAGCTGCTGCACCACTCTCCTCGTGT